TTTCAGAGGCATAGGCCAGTATAGGGTCTTGCAGGCCAACAGCGACCTCAACGACTCACCATTACTAAGGGGTGCACCTGTGTTTTGTTTTGTTTTTTTTGTTTTTTCTGGGTTCAATTTGCATTTTTCTAATCCACATCAAGGCCTTTGTTTGTGCCACTCTATAAGCCTGGAAGTCAAACCCTATTCCAGAAATTTTGAATTGAAAAAGCTTCCTGGATGGGAAGCAAAAACATCTTATAACTTAAATAACAAAGTCTATTGGTTTGTTTTTTCAACTTTTTTAACCTCTTAACATCCACCTCATTTTTGGTAATTCTGGCCTATTTTGCATACCCAAATGGAAAAGCAAATAACTTAGGAACTGTAAGCCCAAACTACATGTATATATATACATTATTTGAAAGCCAACACAAAATTTGGTGACTAGAACACAGACCAAGCTGCATCAGTTCAAACATGACTCAAAGTTGTTGTTTTTTATATTCTCAGAAATGATAGTTTTTGAACAGCAGTAATAAAAACATTCATAAGAAAAGCAGGTTTTATTGTATTATATTTGTTCTACATCATATCAAACACAAATGCAGGAAATTTCAGACCTCTAGCTATAACAGTTCCAGAGCTGTGGGGCTTTGAACTTTTGGTGACAGCTTGGAGCTGTGCACAATGGCTCCACCTGCTGGTAAAAATTTTACTGGTGGAAATGTATGCATTCTGAATTATTACCCCCACTCAAAGGGGAACGCCGTTTTTTTTACATTGGGGGACAGTGATTCACCTACATGTTATGAATGCTGGTGTACCATAAAGAATAAATTATGAACAGTTTAGTTTGTTCCTTCAAGTCGTTCGCCCATAGGAAGACGTTACTTGGATATAGCCTAACGGAATATCTTCAGAACAGCTCCAAATTACACAAAACGTATATGGGTGAGTAGAACATGATGTAATAACATAAAATCAAGGGCTCAATGTAAAAAAAAAAAAAACTGCGTTCCCTTTTAAGGTCCAACGGGTCGCCGGCAACCTGGTGGATTTTAAGAGGTTAGCTTTGTTGGCAATACTGGTGAACTCACATTTTAAGTTGTAATTGTTACACAACTGTTTTTATATTTAGTAGCTGCTGACATTCTCTACTGAAGACAGGACTTTAGGGGACTGTTAGTCAATGATTTGTTAGGGTGAAGGTCACAACTTGCAGCTTAATAACTAAAATCTTCAACCTTTAAATCATTTTAACCTGGCCTTTTTATGAGCACTGTGATAGGAAGTGTTGGCCTACATGTGCTTTTGCTCATTTTCTTCTATTTGATGCTGCATAGCTTCTTTCTCTCTCCTGTACATATCCAGGTTGCTTCATCTAGCCGCCCTCTTTCAGTCTGAGTCTAACAACAGCCATAAACAGAGCAGCAGGCTAGGTTGTTGGTGGTGATTGAGTGGAACCACTTTAAAGGTTACAACTTTGTCTCCTTGGATGAAAAGCATAAAAATTCAAACTTGCTTGCAGTTTTCTAATGGATTTTTCTACTGACATTTTAATGTCCTCTCTAAATTCACTTCAGTGAAAAAAATGGATCTGAATGTTGTACAGTTTTGTTTTTTTTTGTTCTTCATGTCATTTTCAAATCAATAAGGGCTAAATTTCTCCCAGTGGAAACATTGATCTGTTAGATCAATTACACCTCTCTCTTTCTCAACTTTGAAAGCAATGCACATCAGTGATGGTGGGGGTGGTGTTCGATAACGGCAAACATAGTTTATCCTCTTTCCTTTTCCTGTATTCTCATTAGTCTCTTTTGTCTATTTTTTATCGCTTGCTAAGCCAGGGTTGCAGCTGAGGTGAATCACTGTTGAGCAGTGATGTGAAAGATCTGCAGACCACCCACTGGTCAGTGTGGCTGACCAGCAGTTCTCTCTCTTGTAGTGTTAAAGTATTGTATGACTTAAAAATTTTGATTCCTAAAGATGATCTCAATTTTAAATCAAAAAGTTGGAACCAATATTTTTGGTGCTGTAAATTAAGTGTTTAAAAATTTTGTTGAGATAAACATACTGTTTGATAAACTGGATTCAGTTTGGTTAGGATTTTATAATGAAAGCTTCGGTGTCCCCTGCTATCACCTCATGCTGAATTTTGTGAAAACCTTTGCAGTGATATTTATTTTATTTCCAAATACAGTCACAAAATGGGTGAATAAAGGTTGTCCTAACTGTTTGATTTCTTTATTTAAAGAGCATAAATCCAATTCAGACAACATGGCAATTAAGTAATGAGCAACAGTACCTGAGAGTTAACTAATACAATCTAAAACACAGTTTGGTTTTTCAACAATATTTGGCCCGAAACTCAAATCAAATTACATTAGTGTTAGGGGTGGAAAGGTTCACAAGATCCACGGTTTGGTTCGGTTCACGGTTTCGTGGTCACGGTTTTTGGTTCGGTTCGGTATATGTTGATTGTTAGACTGACATGTTGGTCGTGTTGCTGTTAGCATAAACAAAACGCGTTGCACAATGCTTGCACACTGTTGCACTTTTATCCACAACTTTCTTTCCGCCATCATCGTAGGTCACTCTAAATGCAAAGTGGTCCCATACAGCAGACCTATAAAGTGCTGCTGGCGCGTCTTCCAACTCCTGTTCTTTCCCACTGGCCATACCCACACAATTCTCCACAACTACTGATTTTTTTCTGCTTCGCTTCTTCTTCTTGTTTACTACTGGTAGTTGGCTTTGGTCGCAGTACTTCCACCTTCTGCTGTGGAGTGTAAACGCTTTGCCTATGAGAAAAAGGAGCCGTGTATGAACCGAACCGAGACAGTCGAACTGAATGATTCGATACGGTTTACATATACCGTTCTATCCCTAATTAGTGTGCATTGCATCTTCCTGTTTTATTTCTGATTTAAAGGCATATTGACAGATGTTCTTTTTCTGGGAGTACCATTAAAATAAGTGGTCCTCCTAATTGTCAGTCATTCTGGTGATATGTTTACGTAACGCCGTCCTACGTGCTGGTCCCCATTTTCACTTACCAGTGGTGAGTCTGACATAGTGGAAAAATGCTTCTTTTAGAAAGTAAGCTTCTATGAGCGATGCAAACAGCAACTTTTAAACAGATCGTGCACGAGGAGAAATGGGCTCTTGCAGGCTTTTAATAGGCTTTCCTTCTCAGGAGCGGGTACAGGGTTTTTCTTGTGCCTTTTTTTTAAAGTGGAGAGGAAGGATCTTTTTAAAAATGTATGAAAATCCTCCACTTTACCTTTAAGAGACTTGATTTCATTAGTTGACTTATTTGACTTTTTTTTTCCACCGTTGGTATTAAAGAACCTCATATTTAAACCAAACATCAGATACTCTTGATATGCATCTACTTTATTCTCTATTTTTTTTCCATCACACCTTGTTGAGAAAGACTTTTTTTTTTTTTTTTGTTATCTGGTCCCTCCATTTTTCCTCCTCACTACTTGAAAGTCACACCCTCTCAAACTCTGATTTGAAACAGCAGGTAATTTCTGTGCAATGGCACATCATTACATGAAAATGAATGCGATTGATGAGAGATACAGTATGTTCCTGAAGGCAAGGTCGGAGCAGATGGTCTGTTGCTCGCCTCAGTAATAAACTTTTTATTTTTTTTATTTGCAGTCACTTATTGACTAGACAAAAAAAATTGTAATGAAAGAGCAAATGCATCAGGCAACACATTTCAATTTAGAGACAAATTTGAAGGCCGTTTATTCACCTGCAGTCTTTTTATAAAGTTGTTGCTATGGCTTCTCTGGCAGGTACTCATTCAGAGAAAATATCAATTTGGTGTAAAATGATAGCGTATAGATTTAACACAGGGTTTTAAGCAAGAAGAAAATTAAAAAAGGTATTCAAGTCATTGTTTAGCATCAGAACGGAACCATTAGTTTTATTTTGCAATACTGCAGAACTTACATGTAAATATTTTACAGATATTTTGATTTGATGGCAGTAACTACCTTAGGAAAAAAGGACTACTGCGTGTTTACCTCCGAGTTACATCATCTTTTATTTCCTATAGTTATATTTGAACACTGATGTTCCAATAGATTTAGCATTCCTATTCATTATATTCAGCTTAACATTTTTAGGCATTCTTTTTTTATTATTATTATATTTCATAAGTTTGAAAAATGCCAACATCTTGTCCGTTTTGTATCAGACATACTAATCAGTCATTTAATCCATTTGTTGGTATATAGACCTACGCAGATAATATCAAAGTTAATAAAGGTAATGCCCTTTATTGCATTTATTTAGCTGACCGTATTTTTAAAGTGCAGAAAAATAATGCAGGGTCTACATTTGTTGTGTCTTGGTTATTTGATAACCTCAATTGAGTTTTAAAATTAGTTAGAAATAAAAAAGTGTAGCTTTACAAAATCCAGTATGTTGTGTTTTCCTTTCCTCTGTCCTGCCTACACCCTCTTCACTTTTTAATACACTGTGACAGTGCAGGTTCTCCTGAGGAATCCTGTCCTTTTTCCACCCGTTCCCTTGCAGGAGACTTCTGTTACCTGGCAACCTGACAGTGACAGAATTTGGTCATCTGTTCCCGCCTCCACCCGTAGTCATGCCTTTACATTTCTCATGTTTCAGCGCTCTTGATTCATGTCCTTCGAAATGTCAGGGCCGCATGAATAATCCAAGCAGCAGAAGGAAGGACGCTGTCTCTTTACAGTATGCTGGTACACGATGAAACATAGTTGTGATGTAAAACTTGTAAGCAAAGTGAATCATTGCACATGAATATTTTTACCCACCTGTTTTAACCAAATAGGACAACAACAGGACTTCTTATTAGTGTTTAGTTTTTTTAAGTTTTTTTCAACATTTGCCTAAAAATCTTTTTTTAGCCTTTAAATTCTTCTGTCATTTGATTTTAGACACTTTTATTTTTAAATTGAAAACTATTCTTTTTTTCTGGCAAATCTTTTGCTGTAAACCTTTTTTTTTTTCTCCTACAGAGGTACAAGCCTGGAAGATGTGATGAAATCCTTAAGTGGAAGCCTCCGAACCTCAACTCTGTGGACTTTCGCCTCAAGATCACCAAAGTTGGAGGAGAGGGGTGAGTAACTGTTGCCAGGGCGACACTCAACCTGACGAATCATAAAGTACAAATCACAGAAAAAGCCTCACTACACACATACATACATCAAAGGCTTTGTGTAAGATCATTTTTGTTTGGGTCAGTAAATTAAGGTGTAACAGTTGCAAAAACAAACAAGACTAAATATTGCGAAAAAAGCAAACATTTTAAGTTAAGCTGTGCTGTTGGAAGCAATAAAAATTAAGCCTTGCGATGCAAGCTTTATTGTCGCGAGATCTGAGTTTTCAGTCTCTTGAGAAATCCATCTTTAAAGGCTCCCGCTAATACGTCCATCTCATTAACCAACAGCGAGTCGGACCAATAACAGGCCAGCAGTGTTTTTTGGGGTGGGACATTTAGGAATGGCGACAGTCAGAAGGGCCTTCTTAGAGAATTACAAACATGGCTACGCTGAAGGACTCACTTGTCAATATCGCAATTGACTTGGTTTTACCTAAAACAGCGACAACTTCTCCTTTAAAGAAGGAGCAGAGAGAACTTTGTGCATTTGCAAAAATGAAAGATGTCTTTGCTTTTCTTCTGGCAGGATATGAAAGAATTTTTATTTATCAGCTTACGAAACGTCATGATTTGTTGCTATGATTGGCTGAAAGCATATTATGGAATGCGGGTACTAGCTGGCACGTCACCCAATCAGCTCAAAGTATTGTAGTAAATGTCCCCTTCTTTTCACGGACAGACTGAAGGACACCCATCCCAGATTTATAACGTAGACCTCAGCTCAGTTCTACACATATATATCTGCCTACTACTAGGTTAATAAAAATGGCTCAGGCGGGCAAAAAATGTAAAGAAGGTCTTCAGTAGTGTCCTCTGCTCTCGGCAGGTAGAGTCTGATCTGACCCTTCCTACAAAGGGTTTCAGAATTTAATCGAATTACGTTTGTTGACAGTTTGGTGGGTCTGGCCATGGAATGATCTGTCATCAGCTCTTTGTTTTTCTGCAGTATAAAGAGGGAAAAGGAACTCTGACATTCCAGTTTCTTCGCATACTGCTGGTGCCCAGTAAGCTGCCCTCCATGTGTGAGGACAGGGTATAGCTGTGCATAACTGTCATTAAAAAACATGTTCAACTTCTTTGACATTAAAACATTCTATTTCATTCAGACTTTTCTTCCTCCTTGGGGTTTAATTCCTTCTGCTGTAGCACAGGGACCCTTTCACAAAGAGAACCTTGCTCTCCATCATTGTGTGTCTGCACCTTTTGCTATCTTATGCCAGGTATTTTCTTCCTTCAGTACAAGCTTTGTCCTTTTCAAATTCTGTTCTTTTTGTGTAATATAAATTATTCCATTCCAGTACTGCAAATTGAAGCCATCCTGACAAACACAAAGACAGAAAACCAATTTTGATTTTAGAAAAATACAACTGAACCCCTTAGAGGTATTCAAAACCACATGAATGCATTTTTAAACTACCAACTAAAGCTATTGCTAAAGCAGAAGCCGTCTCTGTTATTGGCAAGGAAAATATGTGCATATTGCAATAAGTGGATGGTAATCCACGATTTTAGTATACTAAGGATTAAAAACCTGCGAATCCCCTAACTTGGCTACTCTGTTAATGTTGATGGATTCATTTTGACCGATAGCTGAGAGGAAAATGTAGTGCTTTCGCAAGTAACTTTTTTTTTCCCTTGATGTGGTAGAGAAAAACCAGCTAAACAAGCCTAGACTCACAAACATACCCTGCATTATGATTATGGTTTATGCTTTTTGTCATTGAATACAAAAGGCAAAATAAATGTAGACCAACAAACATATTAGCTTAATATAGTGGAGCGAAAATGCTGGATGAGTTGAACATAACAAATCTGACTATGTACACCTTCATTGTTTAAATTTAGACGTGAAGAATATTTTTATAGGATATTCACTGCAGCACCTACTCTAAACAGGCAAATCCAGTGCAGATTAAATGTGCCTCTAGTAAGCATAACATAGCATTAGCATTTTATTCATTCCAAAAAATTCAAACAGAAAAGTTTGACTTGAATTAGTGTGAAAATATAGAAGAAAAACACGCTTTTGGATATTATGCAGCTGCTCCTTCTGCCCAGAGAGGATAACTTAAATGTGTAGTGAAGGATTTTCGTGAATATTTTCAAAAGGCTCGCTTTCTCCAATAAAAAAAAAAAAAGAGCATGCTCAACCCTGTAATGCTTCCGAAAGGGAGTGCCTATTAAATGCGTGCAAGAGCGTGCACAGGCCCATTTCTCCTCATGCACACTGTTTAAAAGTTGCTGTTTGCATCGCTCATACAAGCTTACTTTCCAAAGGAAGATTTGCAATTTTTCCACTATGTCAGACTCACCACCGGTAAGTGAAACTGGGGATGAGCACGTAGGACGGCCTTATGTAAACATATCACCAGAATGATTGACAATTAGGAGGACCACTTATTTTGATGATCCTCCCGGAAAAAGAACATCCCCCACTATACCTTTAGGGATGGGATAAATATTTTTTAAACCGGGTTGAATTGCTCATTCACAGCAAAATAGTTACGTGAATCTGTTCAGTTGGGAAGGGGATGATAAAAATTCATACTTCCATTCGGTTTGGTTCACTTTCACCCTCGAAGAAAGGAATGGAAAACAGGAGCTGCTGAGGTGATAGGTTAGAGGAGGGTGGATCGTCTGGTCCTGCATCATTGCCAAAGTTTTGACATCTGGACTTTTAGTGCTCAGTAGTTTAAAACTCTTGTGTATCTGAGCACAATCCTAAATAGCCTGTAGCGTGGACGTGCACTTCCCGATTCTTTCAGCTCAAAGCACAATGTTGTCCTCTGATTGGTACCCTGCTGTCTCAGTTGATGTCATCTTTCCTCTGAGAGCCGTTTGACCTCAGCGACTTTTCCAGCTCTTTAGCCATGAGCCCACCACCATTTAGCAACAACAGGCTCCCAAGGATGACACTGGGGCACAGCTGCTCATTCTACTCTGAAGATGGCCAGCCTTTCTGCTTGTGAGTGGCTGTACTCCCCCCCTCTGTGACAGTGAACTCAGACAATCTTAGTAATTTCAGATTTTGTTTTATACTTTCCCAACTGATTTATTTAACCGACAGAGTAGTGATCATCAGTGCTTACTTAGTCCAAGTGTAGACTTTGAAATATCTGCATAGTCGCTGTCTGGGAGGAAGAGTTGGATGGACTTGTTTGGAGGTACCAACTGTATATTCATAATCCCACACAATCCATCCTTGAGCACATCTTTGTGCACCACTGAGGCACACAGCCTTGCAAGTTTTATTACCTTCTCTGAAAGCATGCACAGAGCCAGACAGTGATTATGTTGTGGCAGTGAGAAAGAGGAGGTAGACAAGGATAAAATGGAAATTTTGAATAAGTGCAGACACATTGCCAGAATCTCAATTAAGCATTGTGCCTTAAGTATTGTATAGACTGATGGATTCGTGACTAATTTTGCCCAGTATTCCCTCTTAGAGCTGGATAAGTAATGGTAATTTCATTGTTCATTAGATGAGCTTTGATTACTTGAATTAACTTTCTCAAAGCTGATTCCCAAACCTTCTAGTCCTGCCTTTAAATTCTGAGGAATTATTTTCATTACAGTATTTTGATCCGTGTTTCGTCTTAATGATTCAAGTCACATAATGTAGATGCCACGAAACATGATGCATTAAAGTGAGGCTGAGCAGAGAGTCTGTAAATTCAAAACTTTGCCTCCAAAGTGAATTAATTTAGAAATTTAAGGCAATGCTGGAAAAGTGAAGTAGAGGTTTTATGCTTGAGTTTTTTTTTTTTTTTCAGATGCACTGAAAAAGAATTCGACTTGAAATTATAAGATGTCACAGGTCTGTTTTCCAAAGTTCATGCAAACCAGTGGAATCCTGCAGAACAAATCTGGAGCCTGCAATTGGGATGTCTGTCATTATGAATAAACTGCCTTCAGTAAAAGCAAAAACAAACTACTTCCAGTTGGACAGAAATTTGATTTTCTTTAGAAATTAGTGTGCTATTTTATGGGGGATTATTTATAGTTATTTCATGTTTTAAACATCTATATCCTTATAAAGGTAGAGCCAATATTTGAATAATACTTTTACTTGGGGCATAATTTGATGTTACCCACTACTTTTTTGTTTTCTCACAAAGTTTTTAAAAGCTGGTGGTAGATAGAATTTATACAAAGACAAAATTCGCAAGAATAAGAGATGGGTTAGCATAAACATTAGATTTATTCTAGTCTGCTTGAAACGAGGCTCATGCTTTGATAAGGATGTATGACTTTGGTTCTGGATGTGAAACATTGGACCAGATCTCTAGCTTTGCTGAATTACTCAGAGGGTCATTGGGAGTTTTGTTTGTTTTTGACTGTGATGAAGGAAAAAGAGGAAATAAGTCCTTTTTTTCCCCCCACATACGTAGCAGTCATACCTGAAATCCCTGCACAGCCTTTGATGTGTGCAAAGAATAAATCCACTTTGCTCTCCCAGTCTCTGGTGACAGCAGTGAAAAATTGCGCATACAGTCTTAATAGATCGGCCACAAAGCCTCCACAAATTGCTTGTGCAATATTTTGGTTTCACGAGCAATTTAACGGTCTTTATTCGTCAGTCAGAGCTACTATGTCAAATAATGAAGTGTTATTTCTTTTTTTATGCGTCCTGTCCGGCATTTTCCCTCAGGATTGTTGTCTGAATGCAAAGCAGAAGCCCAACAGATTCACTTTCACAACTGGAGCATTACATTACTTCTCTGCTCTGCTTGAGATATTTATAGATGTATAAGGTGGGGGGGAGAAAGCAGAAGGTTTAAAAACAAGGTTTTCTTTTTGGTAGAAAATGTGATACCTTAGGTTGTAAAGTTTATTTTGATATTAAGGTTTTAAGTAACCTAAGTGTCAGTAACAGCAGCTATGTAGTGATCAGTATCTATTAAAGGTGGTCTAGTGCCTTGCACATTCAAGGCTCATTGATGCATTGGGAAAGCGACCTGGAGGCTGGCCTGTGCCGTCTGATAGGAAGTTTTCAGCACACACACACTACCTCACAGTTTGTTTACTGTGGGGCTGCATAGACACAGATAAGGCCATGTCCTCCCTGAACCCTGTCCAAAGAAGACCTTAAGTCAAAGCTATGAAGGAAGGTGGCCATGTCTGATGACTCACCTTTCCTTTTGCATCAGCTTCATGGCTGGGTGTTTGTACTTTGCTTTCATGGGTAATACTGACCCGAGCTGAATTGTGGGATGCTTAGTCAATGTTCTACTGCAGCACCATGGTTCACGTCGTTCATGTCAATGCGTTCAAAAAATAAATTTATTTATTTCATCTCCAGCAAATAGCCACCAGTGATGATGTTTGTGCCTCAGAAAGGTTAATTTTCTGGATATAAGTATGGGAGAAAGGATGTTTGAACCTTTTAAAAGATATGAAGTAAATCTTTACTATTACTTTAGTGGGCTAATCATTTAAAGTGGCTCTACCTGGATCATCAGCTCTCCATCATTTTTCTGCAAACCTAAAGTGCACTTACCGCTGTGTACTGCAGGTAAGATTCTGAATATTTATGCATCAGTCCACTCTTCTTAAAAAGCCTGAACTATTCCTTTTATCATCCTGAAGATAATGACTGAAACATTATAGTTATAGTGAAGCAATTAGATGATCCCTTATGGCGTCATTCCCAAACATTTAGATTCCATTGTTTTATGTCTATTCATTCTGCTTTATCTTTACTATCATGGTGCGTTTGTTGAAACTGTCGGATTAATATAGTCTGAGACCCATGCTGATATTTAACTACGTCTTTTTTCACAGTTTACAGTTATTTATCTTAACCTTACTTTCATGTCATTGAAAATAGCAGCAATTAGTCACACCATGACCCTAAAGCGTTTAGATTGAATATTTGCCTTAGTTCAGTGAAAGAGCTTGTAGGAAAATAGAGTTTATTTCTGTGAGGGACTCCGTCTTTGTTCCTATGCCTTTGGGGGAAACATTCTTGTCTTACTGTTGTTTAAGAGAAGCTGTCAATGGGAAGATCATTTTGTTGTTTGTAAGTACTGCTGATTTCTTTGGCCTTTGGGGGTGACTAACGATGGCCATGGATTTGGCTTGGCTCTGGACAATGCACATTAAAGTATGCCTATTTGCCCCCCTTAATGTCTACTGCTGCTTCCTTCCTCCCTCTGCTAGCTATCATTACGCAGGAAGGGGTTGAGAGCCTCTGGGAAGATGGTCTCCAATTTCAGCTCCATTTGAGATCTAAGAATTAGCTAAACCAGATTGCTGAGCTCCACTGTTGTTTAGCTGACAATTTAGCTTTGCGACTCTCCCCAATTTCCAGGATAAAAATAGGTAACTAATATAAAACCTGTGCCAGTATTTCTACTTGTTCACTGGTACATACTGTAGAGTTCTAGAAAAAGTGCCTGAAATAAGCTGCAGCCAAAGTTGAATAGCTTTCTTTTGTTATTGTTTTTTTCATGGTTGATGGGTCATTAAGACCCCTGTTGGTAATTTGAGAGACACAAAATGTTATTTTTCAATAAGTATAAACATTTCTGTTGTTTTTGCCATTGCTGCCATTATTCTCATGTCTCATAAGCATTGTCTTTATTGCCTTTTTTTCTCCCCTGTCAGTCTCCTATAAATTATGTCTATTTGAAAAGCTCCATACCCAGATAGACAGTTGCTAAATACCACATAGCAGCACAAAAAATATATTTTAAATCTTTTTTTGTTTTTGGTTATAAAAGATTTATAGATCTGTGTTAAGTGTTGGAGACAAAACAAGTCCTCTGTTAGGGTTCAGGTAAGATGATTGGTCCAAAAAGAAGCGAAAAAACAATGATGTTGAAAGCTTTTCTCAAATCTTTGTCTCAGTGCTACTGTTAACATTACAGTCACTATTTGCTCTTTGTTTCAACCGTTTGAAGAATACAGTGCAAGCTTTCTGCATGTTATGTTTTTGGTGTTGAAATATTCTACTTACATTAATTTTAAGTAATGTTAGCCTCACATAGAGTACTTTTGGTATGTTCTTTGGATTGCAGTGTTCTGTAAACTGTGTTCTGTAACTGTAGTTTACTCTGTGGGTAGAGGAACATCAAGCTGTGCAGAGACACAGAAGGACTCTAAGAGGTGTAATCTCACATTCCTCTCATTCTGTTACTAGTAAATGGAAGTGGAGTGGTGGTTTCCATCCAATGCTGTTCACACTCACATATTCCCGTGTTGAGATCCGGTATAAAGGTAGGTTCTGGTGTTAATGGTGATCTTTTTGTCTTTGCAGGCTGTTACCACAGACTGTCGGCTTGCTCTACGTTGGAAACTACGATAGGCCCTTTGCAAAAATGAGGGTGAGAACAGAAATGTGTTGTTTTGTTGCATTTATCTCCATGCTTACAAGGCAAAAAGTCTTAATGTTCCTTATATTTTAAAGCTAACAGTAGCATCATTTAAAAGTGTATATTTAATCATTCATTTGCCATAATATATATTTCTTCAAGAAGTGGATTCCTGCTATATTATGTAAAAATATAATTGTGTTTCTAACCTAATTTCCATAACACTAGCTGTTTTTCTATTAATCATTAAATTGTGCAACTTCTAATTACAAAAAAAATTATTTGTTAAATGTAAAAACTGCAATCACGAAAAATCTATTTCAATATTTTTGATAAAAGTTTTAATGTTTGGATGTTGAATGGATTTTTTTCACGTCGCATGAGTCATGTGATCTGCAACTGGACCTTTCAGACTTGATGAACAAAAAGATGAAGAAGAAGGCCGGAAATATTTTTATAATGGGAGCGTAGCATAATTGGATTCATGAGAAAAGTAATGCTACGGTCACACCAAAAGCAGCAAAGGCAGCAGGAGCAGCTAGTTTACATGCAAAGTCAATGGTTGACGCACATCAAGGCGCAGAAAAAGGTCCCGCAGCGCCTATTCAGCAGCAGGAGCAGCACATCTGAGCAGCTGAAGGACTGCATCGTGGGCGTTTGAGCCTCTGAAGCTCGCGAGGTGCTGCAAACGAAGCTGCTGCTCGCGTTGGAAAAATTTTACTTTTGCTGCTCGATGCGCCACATCAACCAATCAGAGAAGCTGATCTGGGAGCTGGCAGGCAGACAGACAGATGATAAAGACACCTATGATCACTCCCCTGAAACAGTTTATTGATGTCTAAATGACCTAAAAATGCGAAAATCTGACGGCAAAAAATTTTTACTTTTATTTTCCTGGTGCAGTTTGGATTACTTACATGAAAAATGCTTTACAGCCACTGAGGCAAACTGCGAAGAGACGACCAGGCCAGAGGCTTCTGTTGAATGGGATTTCCGATGACAGAGCTCTGCCGGTATGTGGGGGTCTGTGCGGCTCCAACGGCGAAAAAATATTAGAAGACAGGATCGTAATCTTGATGAACTGACTGCACAGTTGAAGTTTTCAGGTGGACTTTATCACTTAAAAAAATATTAAAACTACTTTTGCATATATAGCAGCCATTGTTACAGGAAAAGAAAGGATAGGGTAGCTCCGCCCAGTGCGCATCAGACCCACTTTTTCCACCGCGCAGCTGAAACAGCAAAGCTGCTTCAGTCGCGGGTCAGAACTAAACTGGTACAAGCATAAAAAATGAAGCAGCATGAGCGTTTTTGCTGCTCTTGCTGCTTTTGGTGTGAACGTAACATAAAAATTTATTTATACTTTGAAACTAGGTCCTCTGTGTAGGTGTCGTGGTGGACACAGAGACGTCCCTGCCCCCTTCCTCAGACACTCTGCTGCACCTCTCCCAAATCGTAGGTGAACGCAGTCAGTGCCGCAGACAGGAGGCCTATGATTGGTCAAATATACATCCGCTCTACACTATGCATATTTCATGTTTGGTACTCTTCCGGCTTGTTTTGTTTGTCTGATCGCCATACAAACAAAACTAATTCAAGACTCGTGAAGTTGGACCAGCTAGAAGAGCGAGGTACGGGAGAACGCTGGGACCCTTTTTCCACCTGGATCCCCGCTCTTTTTTGCCCTCATGTCCCGCCGTTGTCACACAAACTTGCCCCCACCTCCTCACCGCCTCGGCCATATCTAGACCCACAGCTAACTCATGATTTTCCCTCTTTGCGTTGTGGAGTGGAATAAACATAGCACAGACCACACTTCAATATTTAGCATAAATCAAAAATGGAGTATAACCAGCCCTTAAAGGCCAGAACACACCGAATCCGATTTTGCGTCCGATCCGATGGGAAATCGTGTCAGACGAGGTTGTGGTGTTTAGCGTTTATTGAAAGTCAACATGAACACACCCGACACGATTTTACACAAGGGGGCTTACGTAGCTCCGACTGAGATAAGACCCCAGGTCTACTTTAGTCGGACCTACGCAGCAACTCAGCAGCAATTTCATGGGTCTGACGGAAAGAAAGATGCAGTTGCAAAGTAAAACACATCCACTGTGAGGGAAAATACAAAATAGAATCTGTTAATTGCATGGGGAAAGAGTCAGTTTTGGACTCGCATAGAACATTTATATAGTAAACGGGACAGAATTGTGCAAAAACAATAAATGGAACAAAAAGAATATTCTACCCATGATGGGAATTGAGGAGGACAGAAAATGGATAAAGTAGTGATCCGATTTGAGCCTCGCAAGAGAACAAGGGACAGAATGCGCAGTTTATCAATCTCATCGGGGGAAAAAAATTTCAGGAGGTGAAAAAAACAGATAAAATAGTGATCCTCTCTGAGCCTTACAAAAAACAAAATAACGAGGTTGCAGAAAAAGGTAAGCACATATCTCAGAAAAATATAAGGGCGTATCTCTCACCTCTGTGAAAAAAAGAAAAACTTTTGAAGAACCTTTCAGATCTCTCTCTGAGAATCGCCTCTCAATGACTTGGTCATTATATAAACCACCCAACAGCATTTATTGCTGTGTTTTTCTTTAGACGTAGATCACATTGTTTTTGATATAGACTTATGAACGTTCTCTATCTGATCCGGTTTGAGATGCTGCACAGACACCTTAAAGGCATACTATGCAACATTTTTCAGTTAATTAATGTGTTCCATAACGTTTTGGATGATTAAATGAGTCATTTCATTTCGAACAAAGGTTTTCTCGGCCGCCCTGGTGGTCTGTAGGGGAAATACGGTACTTGCAATTGCAGGAGCCCTCGGCCTGCACCCACAGGCTCAGAAGTCTCGTGCATCGCGAGAGTCGGTCTTGCTTTACCACAAGAACTGCTACACGCCCCCAGTGAAAGGCATGCTCGTTGCTAGCGCAGTCGCCATATTTGTGCAGTTATCATGGCGGAACCAGCGCGAAAACAGCGAAAGCCCATGTTTGTTATTTAGACACATGCATAACAAATAATGTATG